CAACTTTAAACAAATGGCAGCACAAATGGTCAAAAAACACGAAGAACATGCTTTTCCAACAGCAAATGACGCAGAATCTGGTGCAAGCTATCAACCTCCAGATGATGCAATATTAGGACTAGTTGTCTACCCACCAGCACGGCAAAATCCACAGCCAATTTATAGACCAGACTACCAGTTTGGTTACCCTCAAGGAAAAGGCAATATTTTTAATGGAGGATATGGTGAATATCATAATTCACAGTGGACTCTGCCACCAGCATGGACGGAATCAGGTGTAATGCTTGTTCTACCAGCAGATCCAGGCTTATGGTCAGATGTAATAGCACGATGGGAGTCTATAACAATCAATAGGCTCAATAGCCAAACATGGACTGACAACAAAGCAAAATTAGCCTTTGTTGAAAATCTTCTTGGAGAAAGCGAAAAGTTAATGTGGCAACAATGGCAAACGGCATACCCAGATGTATATGCTGCCCTTGAAGCAACCGCAGATGAACCACAGAATATAACATCACAAGTTAAGCAGTTAATATTGTTAGAAGATCCATATCGAGGCTCAACTGATGAACAAGACAAAGCCTACAGAGATCTAGACAGAATAACTTGTGAAGAAACCAAGAACTTGTGGACATTCTTGGAGGATTTCAGGCAGTTAGCAATAAAGTCTGGAAGGCTGTACTTCCCCTCAACAACAGAAAAACTTTTTGCTAAATTTCCACCTTCTCTATCCAAGAAAGTTGAAGAATCATTTAAAGCCAGGTACCCTGGTCTAAGTTCAGGAGTTCAGACTGCAATCAAATTCACTCATACTTTCATCTCAGAAATGTGCAAAGATGCGGCGCTTGCCAAAGAGCTTAGAGATTTATCTCTTTGTTCAGCCATACTAATTCCTGGTTATTACAAAAACAACAGGAAAAAGTATGGAATGAGGAAGTCGAAGACTTACAAAGGAAAGCCACATGGTTCTCATGTAAAGCCATTCAAAAGAAAGTACAAAGATGACAGAGGACGAGTCAAAAAATGCAAATGCTTTATTTGTGGAAAGGAAGGGCATTTCGCAAAAGATTGCAAAAGTAAGCAAGGAAACATTGCAAGATCAACTGTCTATCAAGAACTGGATCTTGATGACAACTGGGACATTGTCTCAGCAGACTTTGATGACACCAGTGTCTATAGTATATCAGAAGGAGAAGGCGATACCCATCAAAGCATCAGTGTTATGGTCCAAGATACTCCATTTGAAGAAGCAGCTTTCACAATAACACATGAAGATAATGAAAGTAGCAGCGAAGATGAAACAGAGGATATCCAACATAGTCATTATGCTTTCATGTTCCATCCAGGACCACCAACAAAAATAACAGATATGGTTCAATCCGTAGGATCGTGGAAACCAAGCAAAGAATTGCCAGCTCAAAGTAAAAATTGTGAGCATGATTGGAAGGAAAACACAGTCACAAATTACACGATCTGTTATTACTGTGGAATACTAACCACAGACGTGTCAAGACTTAACTGTCCCAAGTGCCAACTCACAACATGTGCTCTTTGCGCCAAAAATTATCTTGGCAAAACAGTTAACGTTAAGAAAAAAACAGCAGATTAAGCCGGAAGAAGAAAGTGACTTTACCAATAGGGAAATAAAGCTTCTCAAAGAACTTTTGAAAGAGAAGACGGAGCAAATGCAGCAGATGATTAAGGATCAAGCCAAAGAGTTTTATGAGACCAAGGCAGAAATACAAAAGAGAGAGGAAGCATGGCAGCTTGAAAAAGGCTTGCTAATAAAAGATCTCACAGATACTCTTAAGATAATCGATCAGCTTAAAGCTGAACAAGTAAGGTTTGAAGAACAAAAGAACGAAGAAATAAGAAGGCTGAAGGAGCAACTACAAGAAAGGAAGGAAGAAAGGAAAAAGCCTCAATTCCCTAAAGAAGAATTCCCACCGTTAAGCGAACTTCATGTAGCAAGGCCCTTCATGGAAGCAGAGATTCATTACTCTGAAAATGCTACATCAAACCCAAAAGTTAGGAAGATAACTAACTCACTTTACAACGTAAAAGTTGAGTTTGATATCCCTAATTGCCCAACATTTGGGATCGGCGCAATAATAGACACAGGAGCATCAGCATGCTGCATAAACAAGAAGGTTATTCCAGAAGAAGCACTTGAACCTTTAAACCACAATGTTTTCTTTAATGGTTTAAATTCAAGACAGCAGGCAACTCACAAAATAAAGCAAGGCTATTTTCTCATCGAGGGAAACAAGTTCAAAATTCCCCTTATATATGCATTTGATATGCATGGCAGCAATGGACATTGAAATGCTGATAGGTACCAACTTCCTAAGGTCCATGAAAGGAGGAATTCGTATAGAAGGTGATGAGATAACTATTTATAAGAAGGTTACCAAGATCAAAACTTCAGAGCAATCTGAGGTTGCTGAAGTTGCCATCACTGAGCTTGAAATTAGTGAAGAAGATTTCTTTGAAATAAATGAATCTATTTATTTCAACCAAGAAGGTAACAATGCATTCCTAGAATGGTTTAAACCTGTCATTGATAGGTTAAAGCTCCAAGGATACATCAGAGAAGAACCTTTAAAGCATTGGAAGAAGAATGGTGAGCTTTGTAAACTGGATATTATAAATCCAGACATTATAATTGAAGATCGACCACTAAAACATGTGACACCAGCAATGGAAGATTCGTTCAGAATACATGTTGATAGTTTACTCAAGATTGGTGCTATTCGACCAAGCAAAAGCAGACACAGAACGATGGCAATGATCGTAAACTCAGGAACAACAATTGATCCTGTAACTGGAAAGGAGGTCAAAGGGAAAGAAAGAATGGTTTTTAATTATAAATCCTTGAATGACAACACATACAAGGACCAATACTCCTTACCAGGCATAAATACGATCATCAAGAGAACAGGAGGTGCAAAAATATTCTCAAAATTTGATCTCAAATCAGGGTTCCATCAAGTCACCATGGATGAAGAATCAATACCATGGACAACATTCTTAGTACCTGGAGGACTTTATGAATGGCTAGTTATGTCATTTGGTTTAAAGAATGCCCCAGTAGTGTTCCAAAGAAAAATGGATAAATGCTTCAGAGGAACATAATCATTTATCGCAGTATATATTGATGATATACTGGTTTTCTCAAAAAACGAAAAAGAACATGCAAAGCACTTGGAAAAGAAGTCGTAGGAGAAGGAACAATAAGGTTGCAACCGCACATCATAAAGAAGATTGTGAACTTCAACGAAGAAGAATTGAAGACAAAGAAGGGGTTGAGGTCATTCTTAGGAATCCTTAACTATGCTCGTAATCATATCCCAAAACTTGGGATACTATTAAGGCCACTGTACGAAAAGACAAATGCTCATGGAGACAAAAGATTGAAGCCCTCTGATTATGAGTTAATCAAAAGGATCAAGATGCAAGTTCAGAATCTCCCAGACCTTGAGATACCACCTGAAGATGCTTATATCATCCTAGAAACAGACGGATGTATGGAAGGATGGGGAGGTATAGTCAAATGGAAGAACAAAAAGGAAGGACCAAGAAGCTCAGAAAAGATTTGTGCATATGCAAGTGGCAAGTTCTCAACAACCCAATCCACAATTGATGCTGAAATCAATGCCTGCATCAACACTCTGGAGAAACTAAAAATCTACTACCTTGATAAACAAGAAATCACTTTAAGGACAGATTGCCAAGCCATTATTAGCTTTTACAACAAAGCTAATAGCAACAAATCCTCAAGGGTCAGGTGGATAAAGTTTGCAGATGCAGTCACAGGAACAGGCGTCAAGATTAACATAGAGCATATAGAAGGGAAACATAATACACTAGCTGATTCTCTCTCAAGACTTGTTAACCTTTGTTTTGCAGAATGCACAGGAAAAATGAAACGGTTAGCAGCAGCAGCCCTTTACTCAGTGGAGGAAGTTCTACAATCTCCTTCTGCCTCTCAGAAGAATATGAAGATTACTTGCGAAGAAATCATGAAGACTTTCAACCACTCCCAAGAATCTTTACTAAAACAATCTTCACACTGGAAGAACCAGGAGCAATGTACAGACAATACCAACTTAGAGCCAATCAAACCCCAATCAGAATGGATAAATCTGATGCATGGAGATCAGTCGCCCAAGATATCGAATTATCAGCAGCAAAAGAAGCGATCAAAGCAATGCGAAATTTACAAGCAATCATACAGTGCAAAGCTCAAGTCTGCTTTGGAAAATCAACAAGAGACAACCATTGGTCTGACCAAAAGGAAGATGTTCGAATCCAAAACAAAGAAGCCCGAAGAATCCTCATCGAACTGGAAGCCCTCGCACAACGATTGGGCCGCAATAATATCTAAGCCCATGGAAGTCCAAGACAATAACCAAAAAGAAAACAAATGCCGCTACAACAGCAAAGGATTTCTAGAAGATAGTGACAACAGTGATGACGATTCAATTTTTATAGTGGACCCCGGGTGGGATGATTATTGTCTAAAAACGATAAAATTGAATTGTCCCATGGATCCATACCTTTATCCAAAAGCTAGAAGGGCCCGTATGTGAAATTATTTCACATATCACGGGTTTTCAAAAGTTGAGGTGTTTGGATGTTCAGAAATCTTCAAGAAGTCCCCACCACTTGTTAAAAGTATCTTTATAATTATCAAGATTGTCGGCCACATGTAACAAATTAAATAATGACCCTTGTTTAAACGTCATCACTTACGTTTTTATTCTTGTCCATTAGTTTGTAAGCCCATCTATATAAGGGCATAAGTTCTAAGTTTGGGATCATCGAATTCATTCACCTACAATCACCACCACCACCATTGTAACAAAGCTTCCGCAGTATTTTAATAAAAAAGTGTGTACTTTAAAGTTTTAGTTTTTGAGCTTTAGTACAAGATAAAAATTCCTGGCAACGTAGTCCACTCTAACATATTCTTTTCAAAATTACTTATCCACATCGAGTCATTTCTTCTTAAATGGCCTTCCATGTGGTCTCTTCTCCATCTCGTCTGTGGACCACGCTTTTAAACCCAGGACCACCTCCAGACGTACCTCCACACGTGGCGGCCGCCCTGTCGATCTCATTGAAACTTGAGCCGCCGGAACTTTTCCCGCTGGCTGCTCTACCACCAGACGTGGCGGCTGCCTTCTTGGCCTCCTCTCCAAAACTTCACTTTTCTTGGTGACTTTTGATAGACAAAACTTATCTTCGCTTCTGAGAAACTTAAATACACATTTATCTCCTTCACATAACTCATTAGCTCGCAGAAATTTACTCCACCCTGCTGACAAATAGTATCTTGTATAGTTACGGCCCTCTGAAAGCAACTTGATCGGCCACTCCTTCCCGTCAAGATTCTTCATATTTAATGTTTTTCTTGCTTTTAATCCGGTCAACCGTGAAAATTCCAACGGAATCCGCTGATGTAACCATATTTATGCAAACAAAACTTATTATTATTATTATTATTATTTTAATTTTGGAATAAAAAATATATTTATGATACCTTTTATCTTACCAAAGTATATTTGTCTTTAGATATAATCTTCATAAAGAAAGGATTCCCGTCATCCCCATCAATATCACCGCCATCGTCATCCTCATCTTCCTCATATTCTACTCCATTGCCACCATCATCATCATAATTATCATCATCTTCTTCTTCTTCTTCTTCATCAGATTCTTCCTCTTTCTCTGCTTCCTCATAATTATCATCATTTTCTCCTTCCTCTTTCTCTTCTTCTTCTTCAATGTCATCATGTTCATCCTGGATTTTTAAGGGGAAATTTTTTTCGCACCCATTTGGACTGAAAATTGAAAGTTTGAAGGTGGATTCATCAACAAGCCAAAAGACAAGAAAATCCCCAAATCCCAAGTCGCTATCTTCAACTACGTCACTCCATCCATCGGCAAAGTAGTAAATTTCACCTTCTTTTTTTATCTTTAATCTCCATTCATACCCTCCATTTCTTGATAGGAGTATTGGGTTTTCAGGGATCTTCTTCTCCAAGTGCTTGTGGACAAAACCAGGTGGCAATTCCTGCAAAATTGCATGATTAAAAAATTACAGGAAAAGAAAAATAATAAAAATTGGATTACTTGAAGTAAACGATTACCAGGTGAGGGGCAGAACGGTCAAGCAAGATCTTGAAGAAGGACGGGAGCCCACGAGGGGCCATTTGCAGAGGGCTTTAGAATTTGGGAAAGAGGGATGCCAATTGCCAAAAATATGTGCCCTTATGCCCCCATACACCTGAAACATCAATAAGTTTTGCTATAAACAAGAAGGATGAACTTATCTTCTGCTCATTTTAATTACTTGGTAACTATGGGTACATTCATATGTGGCTCGCTAAGTTCATGGATTAATAGATCAAATTACATATTGTTCAGAACGTGAGAATACCATATTTTAGAGAAAACTTGCCGAGACATTTTGTCAAACACCTTATATGCAATGAACTTCTTTCTTTATCAGGTAGAAATACCATTTTGTTTTCATATGCCGTTTCTAGATATACTCGTGGTCCTTTCATTTCAAGATTTATGATTTCTCAGTTCAAATATGTTTTGGGTATTTGGTTTTCGGTTGAAAATACTCGGAATCAAATAGAGAATTAGGGTCCACTGGTGATTTCTTGGGAGAAAAGGGGAGAGTTGTGTGATTTATTTACCTGACTTCCTCGGATGCATTCGATAGATTAAATAATGATGAACCTCGAAGACAGAATGAAGCGTTAGTATACATGCCAGACACTGATGTCGATGACGAAATTAAAGTTCAAAAAGATATATCGAAAAGGAGAAGGACTTTTGGGATGGAGAGAGAGTGAAAAGGGAAGCTTGAACATAAATGGTGAATGGTCAACCAAAAGTAAAAACATGTTGGTGTTCAATTGACAAAAGTAAAAACATGTTGGTGTAAAATTGACATTTTACCCCATTTTACCCCAAATTTTATTTTTCCTTTGTTTTTATCCATTCTCTTCCAACC